CCCCCAGCCAAGTGTGTGTCACACCTGGGCGGCCCAAACTAGGCCAGGTGGGCTTGATTTAACCAACGGGGTCAACCAAGACCTCCGACCACACCTCCCCAGCCAGAGATCTGGAACACCCTGGCATCGGAGGGCTGTCACTTGGACCCCTGCTCCGGTCAGCGGCAGGTTGGCGAGGATTCCCGTCCCTCTTACTGCTGCGTTCACCGCTGTGGACACACAGTTGCCCAGGTTGCCTGTGTCCAGTGGTGAGGCCCAGCCAAGGCTCCCGCGTGGTGGACACACTTCCCTGAGACAGTAAAACCCAACACTCCCCCGTCCTGCATAAAAACCCACTTGGATCACAAACCAGCATGAACTCTCACTCGTGCGAAGCCAGGAGCAGAAGCATGGCCCACGGAGAACCTAACACACACACACACATGATTGTGTCTGCTGCCTGCCCCGTTGAGCCAACCTGAAGTTGCTCATGGTTCAAATATCGCTGGCTTGTTCCGCAGCAGACACTCCCTCTCTGGGCCGGGTTAACCTTGCTGGTGGTGGTCTCGTCTTTCCTAGTCTTGATTTCCACCTGTGCCTTATCTCGTCAGTCAGGGTGGGCGAGAGAAACAAAGCCAGGCAGACTCACCTGCGTCTAAGAACGAGCTCTATAGACACGAGCAGTTGAATGTTGAGAAAACACCCCAGCCCAGTCCACATCAAGTCCCTGAGTCTGACATCAGCCCACATGTCCACTACCAGCCTATAGAGTCCTCTTGAGACGCACGCAGCACATGCAATGGGAGATTGCAGGAGGACCACAGGCCAGGGGGTGGGAAGTCTTGTGGATCCAGTGGCGGTGGAAGCAACTCAGCGGGCGTGCTGTCCACGTGGCTCCTGCAGCTCAGGGCCCGGCCTAGTTCCATGCGTCTTGTCAGCTGCAATGTCTCTCAGGGAGTGAGCAGCGTGTGTCCCACCTCCAGGGAGGACTACCCGCGTCCCAGAATCCGCCGCACAGAGGCCTGACCGATTGACAGGCAGGCGCCACCCTTCACTGTCCATCCTCACATTGACACCAGGCCCCGTGACCGCCCACGGATTGCTCGCCTGTCTCGTTTGGACTCTTGTTTCTGTCGGGTCCCACCGAGCGGCTGCATGGACAGTGACTGGCGAGGGCTTATCCGGGAACGTGGGGAGGCGGCAGCGGATGCAGGCGCGGCGAGCGAGGAGTGCCCGGGCCGAGGCATGCCCTCTCCAACGGGCTCAGGCTCACCCACCGACACCGCAGCTCGGTCCAGCGTGCGGCCGAGCCGCCTGGCGGGCAGGGGCTGGCTGGGCCTGTGGGCGGAAGGGAGCCCGGAGGAAGATGCTGCCCCGCTGCCGGCGCTGCGCAGCCCGAAAGAGGCGCCTCGACGTTGCAGCGCGGACCCGCTGGCGCCGCAGGTTACGCCGGGCCGCGGCCCCGAGGCGGGCGGTTCGAACCCACCCGTCCCTCGAAGGGCGACGGGGCGAGGCTGCCTGCTCCCGTAAGGCTGCGCTGTGCGTCGCCAGGGCAGCCTTCCCCTTAAGAACGCGCCCCTGAAAGAATGAAGACGTGCTTTCTCGCGCCACAGTCCGTCCGCGGCGCCCGCCCGGGCGGCCCCGCCGCGCATGCGCGCCCCGGCGCCAGCGCCCCGCCTCGTC